CCCCGCCTTATTTCCTCCCCCCATCCCTCGCGGCCGACTTGGGATCAGTCCGCTGGCTCCCGGTCGATCACGATCGATTTATTGGCCAGCCCTGCCTTAAAATCAAATGTAATTTGCTGACTAGCTTAGCGCCGTTGTTTGCACATGAGTGGTGACGTAAAGGTCAAAATTCAGTTGTCATCTGACTGGTTGCCCTGTATGTCAATCAAGTAACGGGATTGATGGGCTGACATCGTAAATTCTGCTGTACTTAGCCATTGTTTGATTGGCAGCGCCACCGCAGAGGCGTTTTCGGCGCTGATCATGTTAAAGCCGACAGTGAACCAGCCAAAGAGCCGCATGCGGCTCACGAGCCACAGGTTGGTCATCCCTGTCATAAATTGTTCAAAATATTTGCACTGTTCGAAGAAAAATAAGTCCTTTTCTAGTTTATATTGCATTTACATGTAAAGGCTGTTTGTGATTGATGTTTTGGGAATTTGTGAATGAATAAAATTAAGATAAGAAAACCTTTGTCTCACAATGAGGACATTCCCAATTTACAGCAGCAAAATTATGAAAGGGAGAACGTAGAAGACAAAAAGTATATCAATAAATAGCAATATAAAATATAAGGAAATTAAAAATGGGTGAGTGAGGGGGAGTCCAGGTTTTCAGGACCGTCTATTCAATTCGTTCCAAGTCATTCTAACATCGTTCGTTTTTTTTTTTTTAAACACAAGACACCACCTACTGACTAAAGTCAGGAGTGCCATTTATGTAGTCATCTTTTTCAGGCAGGTGCATGAAATCTCAATCAAGGTGGTGTACAGGTATGCAGGAATACTATTCCGCATCCAATTTGGGTAAGTTATTGTGGATAAAGTCAGTAACCAAGAATGAAAGTTTATTTACACCAATAATGCTTTCACAAACGAACGTTTTCTATTATAGCTCAAATATGAGAATAAAAACAGCAAAGACAACAAATGCTTGCATTGTGATGGCTCCATATCATTAGTCTTCAAAAGTGTTACACATCTGCATATGTAGTCATCTCCAATTGTTTGTTTGTTTGTTTATTGAACATATATAAAACATACAATAACAGATGACAAAATGCAAACAAAAATTATGAAAGGAAAATAAAAGTAATACAAACAACATCACAGTTATATGTTCAAAGGAGTAGGAAGAAGTATACAACTTATCTAGTCCAACCCCTTGTTGTGCAATAATGTACATTGATCATTTCCAATACCAAAGAAAAGGAAGAAATCTACATTTCATCAAATACTTTTACCCTTTTGTGTACGATACTTATCTATTGATACACCTTTCGGTTTGTATATATGTATAATTCTTCTTTCTACTTTTTATATCAAATGACTCATATTCATTATATATACTGCATTTCTTGAATACATTCAATAAGTTGTTCAAAATCCAGAACAACTAACTTGGGGTAGCACTTTTTGTGTAGGCATTGAGCCACATTTCCATGAAAAAAACATCAATAGCCCCATCGATCAAAATTCCATCGTTTTATAGTTTGTCATAAGAGTCCATGTGCCAAATAAAATTTGGCCCTTTAGAGAAGTAGTTTCATCGTCTCAGATGTCTTGCTTGCCTTAACGACATTCCTCTCGGATCCAACTCTTTCAGGACCAGACCAACATCCTCTTTCCTGACAAGAAGTCCGTGTTCTCTGCACTTACTGTACATCCGTCTGTAACCGTGTAGCTGTCCGGAATGCTGCACTTAGTTGTGAACAAAGTCAAACAGGACCGCCAAGTCATTGAACATTTTCCGGTGGAAGAGTCCTCTTTTGTTCAGCACTCGCTTCAGATGTATTTTGTTTATTTGGAACCCATATTTAAACTCAAGAACAGATTTAATGTCTTTGCATATCAAGCCAATTTCAAAGTAAAATTCAATGAAACTTGCTCATGAGTGAAAACACGCCATGGTGGTTGTTTTCAGTTCCTCGGAAGATGACCCAGAAGTACATCAACGCGCATAAAAAATAAAAGTTTGTGTTATCTCGCAAACTTTGGGAGGGAACGCAAAGTTTTTTTTTCTTCCATGCCCCCTTAGTAGGTGCTCCGTAGGAATTCAACATGACATATTAATGAAAGCACTTTGGGTGGAGACCTGTGTGCCCGAGAACGGGTCTGGTAATGATACACTCTGCCTCTCATTAAAAACTAAAAAAAATAAATAAAAATACCAAATTAAAATAAAAGCACTCTGCTTCTCAGAGCCGTATCATTGAATATATAGCTTGATATGGCTTTAAAAAAAAAAAAAAAAATTCATATATATAAATATATATATATATATTTTTTTTGTTTATTTATTTTAGGGAAATGTTCACAGTTCTGGAGGGGCAAATAATTTTGACCTTAATCGTTAATTGTCAAGAGTGTGTCACTGAAGGCATTTTATTTCTAAAATGCTTCTAATTGTGGTGGGATTCCTTTGGTCATTACTTGTCCTTAAATTCTAATGTACAAATTTTGAGAAGTACTTCTAAGGAAGTTACAATTTCTACTTGATAAATTGATGAGCTTCAGTTGCATTAAAAAAAAAAAAAAAAAAAAAGCATCTAACATGACAAACGATGTCAAGCCAGTTTTTAATTTTCATTGCACCAGACAAACTGGGTTTTTGCATGCTTTTTCCATGTTTCTTGTTCCATGAGTGAATCCCAATCCCCAAAAGAAAGTTCAATTCTATGTGAAGGGGGGGAAACGAAGTAAATATTCAATCTGTAAACAAATGTGATCAGTGGATTTATGCAAGTCGTTTCCTCCTGACAGAGTATGGTAGTAAAAGAAATATTAAAGACAAATGTGACAGATCTTTACATTTGAAAATATTTATCTAACTATAATTTCACATTTAAATTGCTGTAGGCTTTCTTGACTGAACTGAATCACAATTACCTCCCCTTTTTTTCCTTTTTAAATCATGGTTCAATGAAAATGACTTAGCAATAGCTCAACGTACGACATGTCTCTGGCATCGGACAGTGGTTCATTCTGATGGAGCAAAGGTCAGTTAGGAATGTTTAAGCTTTGAAAAGCCATTTGAATTTGACAATCTTACAAATGTGGGCAAGGACAATGTCCATATTTGGTTTAGTATCCTTGTATCAGTCGGAGACAATCTGTCCCCAAGTCCTAAACCAGAATATAATCAAGCTTTTCAGAATCACAGCAGACACACGAGGGAATTCCAAAGTTTACAAGGAATGTTCTTGATGAGAAAGTCCAAAATCAGAGAAAAAGGATGCGAAGCCCTTCTATGTGATGTCCTTCTGTCTGGGTGGCCTGTGAATGTTCCTGATCACACACTTCACCATCCATTCGATGCCTTCATTTACGCCATCCCTGCATCAGAATTGCAGATACAATTGAGCTCCAAGATAATTTTCTAAGACAGCATAACTGAATTTGCCGACTCACCCTGTGAGGGCTGTGCATGGTTGGACTAAACAATCTCGCTTGCCAATCTTGGGTGCACAGTCACTGAAAGCTGTTTTAATATCTGGCACGGACAAACAGTTCTGATGAAGGAGCAGACACAAGGCATAAGACTCAAACAAAAGTGTTTGCTGAATTCGGGAGAATGCAGACGAGATCCACTCTACATTGCAACTGCTGATTTTTTTTTTTCACCGATCAGATTTAAATTTGTCGTTTTGTTGATTTGATCCATACCCTGCGATTGGCTGGCAACCAGTTCAGGGTGTTCCCTGCCTACTACCCAAAGACAGCTGGGATAGGCTCAAGCCATGACCCTTGTGAGGACAAGTATCTCATAAAAATGAATGAATGAAGGAATGATTTGGTCTCCCTCGCTATATCGCGCTTCAATTATCGCAGCTTCACTCCATCGCGTTTTTTCCCCCCCAAAGTACTGTAAGAAAAAAATGCCGAATGACTCAAAGGTTTTGTACATGGCTGTACTTGATTGGCTCCCAGTGCGACGTCAACCAAGGACAGCACGAGTGGATTTATCCTGTGAGCTGATTGGCTGTGCAGCCCTCCCCAGCAACCTCCCTTGTGTCTTACCACATGGGTTGCTCTCTGTAAAAAATGCCGAATGACTCAGAGGTTTTGTGCATGACTGTACTTGATTGGTTCCCAGCACGACATCGACTAATGACAGCACGAGTGGATTTATCCCGTGAGCTGATTGGCTGGGGGGAGGGGTTCACGCGAGAGCAAGTCTCTTTCTCTCTCTCTCAAAAGGCAATGCAGATGAATATTAATTACTGTCTAAGGTTTTATAATGAAAGATTTAAGTAAATATGTGTAATGCCATAGTCATTGTCTCAAATATGTAAAGTATAAATACTGTTTACATATTTTAAAAATGTTGGTAGCCACAAACCCTTACACAAATATACCTGGGGGGGCAAACCCGACTTCGCGAATTTTCACTTAGCGCGGCAGGGTCTCGGTCCCCATTAACCGCGATAAGTGAGGGATCACTGTAGACACAACTTTGGCTCTGGAACAACTGCTCTCGAGAGGGACTGGACTTGCCTACGCGGAGCAGTTGTGGGTATACAGTACTTGCTGATCCCTGTTTCTGCGCCTGTGAATTGGGGGGTTCGTCCCAGTGGAGGAGAGGGCCGCCCCACCTCTTTCGGGTGTGGGGACGGATCCTGACTATTGTTTGCGCCTATGCACCAAAAAGCAGTTCAGAATACCCACCCTTGTGGAGTCCTGGAGAGTGTTCCTTCTGGGGATTTTACCTTTCTGCTGGGGAACTTCAATGCTCACGTGGGTAATTAAAGTGAGACCTGGAAAGCAGGATTGACAGGAACGGTCTCCTGATCAAAACCCGAGTGGTGTTCTGTTGTTGGACTTCTGTGCTTGTCATACATTGTTCCGAACAAACAACTTGTTCAAGTATAAGGGTGAGCAGATGAGCACTTGGCACCAGGACCCCCGAGGCCGTAGGTCGATGATCGACTTTGTGGTCGTGTCATTTACTTGTGGCCACATGTTTTGCACACTCGGGTGAAAAGAGGGGCGGAGGTGTCAACAGACGACCACCTGGTGAAGTGTTATCTTTGATGTTGGGGGAATATGGTGGGCCGACCTGGCAGGACCAAATGTAACATGAGGGTCTTTTGGGAACATCTGGTATCATTCCCTGTCAGAAGGAGTTTCAATTACCAACTTTGGAAGAACTTCAACAACGTCCCGGGCAGGTCCAAGTGGACCATGGGCATAAGAGGAGTTCAGTGAGGCCATGGAAACGACTTCCGAACAGCTTTGAGGAAATTCTCATGAAGGGGAAGCAGTACACCATCAACATTGCATAGTGGGAGGAGACCCTGGGGATGCACGCTGGAGAGACTAAGTCTCCCTGCTGATGCGGGAAAACCTTGGCACCCCCCCGACCCCCAAACTGGATGTTGGATTAAGTGGCTTGGGAGAAGAAAGTCTAGGCTTCCCTGATAAAGCTACTTGGCTCCCGCAACCTGACCCCAAATAAGAATTAATGGATGCATTTAACTGAACAGAACTATACATTACCAGTACATCCTGTTTGTTGGCCAGGACAAGGAGCGGGACACCTTCTAACACATCACTGCTGATCATTTTCTCTGCAATGAGGTGAGAAATGACAAATTACAATTAACGGACATTCACATTCAATTATACAATTACTTTTTTGTATGTCAGAATTCAAATAATCGAATATGCTCAATCCACTTTGCACACAATTTAACAGAAACAATAATCAATACATTTAATTACATTTGCTACCTGAAGGAATAATTATGTATTTTTGTTATACATTTGTATATTAATCATGAAGAATTGCTTATGCACTTAATAAAGACATACTTATGCTTTTAATAAAGATACACTCATACTTGGAATAAAGAATGCTTTGTGCACTCTGTGACAGTTAGGGGACACAAGCACCTTTCAGAGAATGTGGTTGCACAGATATAAGGTAATAAGACAAGAGCAAGGTCAGACATGAATGTGCTGTCAACACCACCTGCAACTTGGTGTTTTTGTAATGATTGCACACACGTATGTAATTTTCACTCACATACACACACAGAGTCAAACAACCTGAGGTTGGACACACCCGTGTAATAGACTCCCAATGAGAAATAAATGAGAGGGCGAGGGGGGAGATCAGTGGGTGACATGCAGAGAACTAAAACCTACCGCTTCTGTCCATTCCCCCTCACGAGATTGGTACCAGAATCGAGTGTCTTCTCTCCTCATTGTTTTTATTATGAATGTCTCATTGCTTACTTTGACATTTCTTGGTGCATTGGCCGGGATCGCAAGATACCCGATGCCTCCAGAGGATGAGTCGAAGACCAGAAAAGCCCGTGGCCACCGCTGTAATACCCTTTTCGGGACTGGGCTTTGGCTCTTCATCTGGAGGCTGAGGGTTGATGCGAAACCGAAGGGGGGAGGACGACTCTTGGTGAGGAGAGAATTCTTAAAGCTGCGGATGAGTGCTTGCGCAACCTAGGAACAGACGGAGTGGTCTTTAAAGCTGTCAGACTGAGTGGTCTTGCTTAAACTAGTCCCTAACAAGCAAAGTGAGAAAGGGCGGTGGTGTGTTGTCCATACTTAAAATCTGCATTTACATAGAGCTATCGATATATTAATATATATTCACATAAACCGTCGCTTAAAGAGTGAATGTGGGGTGATTGGGCTTGTCCAAAAAAAGCAACACATCTCTCTTTGCCTCCTCTTCATCAATACTGATTAATTGTCTTATCATAAACACATCTGCTGCGCTGGGATAGCTGGCCAGCAACTAGCTGGAGGCTAACAGCTACACTGTCAGAGTGTAAAGTGAGAGGAACACAAGTCTCTTTGTCTCTATCAGAAGGAAATGTTAATTACTTTGTAATTGTTGATAATAAAAGATTTAAGTAACAGAGATGAACGTGGACTTTCCTGAAAATTCCGGAAAAAAAAAATGTGGCTTCCGTTCTCGCCGAAATTTCGAAATCTCCGAGATATGGCGAGGCCATGAGAATGCGAGGTGAGGGTATTACTGTTGTGGCGACGCCACTCGAGCTAAGTGCGCCTCAGCAGTAGATAGTCCGCTGCTCTCTGCTGTGCGTGCGTCAAGCGAGCGTGTCTTTTGATTTCAACCAATCAGCGTCGACGCAACCGACGTCACACACGACATACGACAACAGCTAAACAAAGCGAGCCGAGACGACACTCGAAGTCGGACGGACACGTTTTTCTGCAAATCTGTGTGTTTCCCTTTTTGTCCAAATATATTTTTTACGACAACAACTGTCTTGTCCACGGCGTCTTTTATTCGTTCCACTGGGGTTGCTAAATCTCTTTACTGTTACTAGGGTTAGTACCTCAACATGGCTACGCTCGTGAAAGCAAAACAACGAACTCAAACGCGTGTTCGTTCAATGTCGTCAACTAATATCCGGATTAATTTTAGGCAATTTTTCCTCAATTCTCCGGAGAAATTTTCATTAAAATTTGAGAATCCGGAATTCCGGGAAAATCCGGAGGACTTTCATCTCTGAAGTAAATACGTGTGCTGCTGTAGTCTTTGTCTCAAATATGTAAAGTATAAATACTGTTTACATCTTTTAAACATGCTGGTATCCACATATACTTACACAAAAATTCCTGGAGTGGGGGGGGCACTACGTTCCATCATGGTTTTTCACTTATCTCGGCAGGGGCCCGGTTCCCATTTAACAAGTGAGGGAACACATTATAGTCACCCGAGGTGAATCGCTTACTCTCAAATTTGCAAAATGGGGATAAAAGCAGTAAAACCGCAGATAAAAAGGATCCTAAAAAGAAATTAACAAGGACTGGAAACTTGTAGAGAGCCAATGTCCTTCCAAAATAAAAATCTAAATGTGAGGATAATAAAATATGATTTCTCTGGCCAGCTGAACACATAAGAGTGCAACTGCAATATCAGACCTTTCCTGTTTATTTCCTGTTAGGTGGAAGTCTTATTTTGCTGTCTACAGAGTTATGTTTGTGATTAGAATAAATGCTTAATCTTTACATAAGTGGAGATAAGCACGACTCCTGGTGCCATGTTTGTTTCATTTTTCTAGCTCTTACGGTGTGAGACGTTTTGTACGGCACCTAAAAGAACTAAAAAGAAACTTCCTACCACCGGTAAAGCTTCATTATTTCAACCGACACTCCAAGAACTATGTGTAAAAATGACAAATAGAATAATGGATAAGGTTTGGTATGAAGACAGCGTTTTGGATACTTACAGCAGGAGAGAGCAAAGTGAAAATAACGATGGTATTTAAGTCAAGTTAAAACGGGAAGTAGAGAAAGTTGAAAAGGGAACAGCCAAGTGAAGTTGGCCACAATCATAAGAAAGAAAAGATCATCATGTTCCGAATGAAAAGAGCCAGGTCAAAGTTCACAAAATGTTTAGAAAGTTGTCTGAGAAGCATAATTGCACTTTTTGTTTGTGTTAAGTGGTAGGGTGATAGAAGTGTGATATTGTTAATTTTTTGGGAGTCGGTAAAACGTGTAAGTGTACAGTGAAGGCCTTTATTTGGATGACTTGTGAGTGTTACATGTCTGTGGTTTTTAATAATTTGTTCTAGAACTGCTTCAGCTGCACTGATACTTGCCATAATATCCTGATCATGTTAAATTGCTTTGTAGATCACAATCAAAAGCTGCATGTTTCTCTCAAAATATAAGAAAAAAACATTACTGCTGCTGAAATGGGAGAAATGATGATCTTATGTGAAGAAATTATGCAAATTCAATTACAAATTTGCTATCATTGGGTTGGGTTGTGCCTTCCCTCATCATGAAATTCGATGACTAGAGTAAAAGCTATGAACTAACAATCATGTCCTGAAACATACAAATTCACGTTGGAATGAGTTACCAAAAAATTTAAGATCTCAAGTCATGTCTCATTTGTGCATACAATGGCAGGATTTCTAAATATAGATCTTCACAACATCAAAACCTCCCAGATTTATCGATGTAAATTTAAAATATGGCAGTTTAGGCACAACGTGTTCAAAGATTGGATGTAGATGGCCTTGTTTTTTTTTGGGGGGAGGCTGTATTCTGTTTTTGCAATTCTCAAGCTATACTTTGCAAAACATTCAGCATTACCCGAGAAATGACAGAAGCAAGAACTGTTGAAAAAAAAGAACCAGTTCAAAACCTCAAAGATCAATGATCAATTTGTGTAGGTGAGACTCCCATGTCCATGTCTTTTTTTCTTACCCTTTTAAAATGACTTCACAGACACCGTAAAATGCTCTCTTTGTGATTGATTCCAATGAGAAAAGGATATTTTGTCGCTAGATTGTGAGAACTGTTTGGTGGTACAGTGGTACTTCTACGTACGAACGTCTTTTCATACGAAATTTTCAATTTATGAAACGTTTCAACAGGAAAATATTGCCTCTTGTTCCGAAAGAAATTTCAAGATTCAAAGTCAAAGTACAGTATGTATGGGATGGTACTCGCAGCTCCGAGTTTACTGAACGCAACAGACTTATATAGCTGCTCTGCCACTGGCTATTACCAAACATCGTTGGCTAAGAGGGACCTCTTCCGTACCTGTCTGTGTGTGTAGATAGATAGATAGGTGTCTATGCAGTGTCGTCGTCTTTCGCCCAAGAGGTGTTTCGATTGTTCTACGTAAATGTGAATCACTCAGAAAAAATGTTTTCACCAGTTGGACGATCGCTCACTATGCTGATGTTTTTTGCCTTGGACATTTCCAAAGGACTGTTAAAAGCCGACAATAGCAAACGTCCTTGTATCAGTTCTTTACAAAACGTCAGGTAAAAACCACTTCTTAGAGAGAACATGGACTAAAGAGGGCAAAAAACGATGAGGACGCAGTTAAAATTTAAATGACCACCATTTTGATTCTTTATTCTTTGGTTTTTACATTATGCACAACTCTCATTTATTGTGCAATAATGTGATTGTAACATATATTTGTTGCATATTTTGATGCATTTTTATGCTTTAGGAAACACTTTTGTCAGAATTTTTTTTTTATTGGGGGGGTGGAACGAATTAGGGCATTTACATGGAAAACGGGTCTCTACTAACAAAGTTTTCTAGTTAAGAAATTTCTTCCAGAACCAATTAATTTCGTAAGTAGAGGTACCACTGTATAAAGGGGAGGGGGGGGGGGGGTGGGGGAAGGCCGACAACAACAAAACAAGATATGCTGTGGTAACCACAAATCAAATATTAAAAGCTGAACCTTTATTGTCACACTATTCAGCTCAAGCTGCGGAATTTTGCGGAACATTTCCATCAAAACAAATACTACAAATCAAATATATATTAGAGGAAACCCATGCTTCAATATTTCTAACATTTATATGTCAAAATATTTCAGATTTTACACTTAGGCCCAATGAAATAATAGATATGATGGAATGGGAACCCAATGCCTGCCAATGCTGAGCCCTGTGCTTGTCTGACTGGCAAATGGAAGCGTAATAGAACATTTCCATTCCTTTGGGTGTTGGGCTGGATATAAACAATGGTATTGTCTTTCCTTTAAGATTCGATTGTTTCTCCATTTTTTTTTCTGTCAGCATGTTGATAATGTATGCATAAAAATGGGGGTGTACACACACACACACACACACACACACACACACACGCACACAATGCATGTTGGTTCGCGCCGGGACCTCTAGCATTCCTTCCCTTGAACAATCCGCCTCAAATCTGGCTCGTCTTCCGTTGTTGCCACTTGAAGCAGACACTGTCTGCATGCGAGCTGCAGCACCTACTTACTACTTGGGTCAGCTTGCCACATAGGGTAAACTTTTTGGACCCGAAGATCAACTTTTGAAGTGGCCAACCTCCCGTGATTGACCCGATCGTGCACGTGCAAGGTTACACGCGCACGCACGCGGACTACTGTTCCATCGCGATCGACGTACTGGGCACCTCTGCCTTATAATCAGAGGTAATTCGCTGACAAGCTTAGCGCCGTTGTTTGCGCATGAGCGGTGATTCGATTGTCATCTGACTGGTTGCCCTGTATGTCAATCAAGTAACGGGATGGATGATAGGCTGACATCGTAAGTTCTGCTGTACTTAGTGCCCTTGTTTGAATGGCAGCGCCACCGCCGAGGCATTTTCGACGCTTGTCATGTGAAAGCCCGGGAGCCGCATTGAACCAGCTGCATGCGGCTCACGAGCCGCGGGTTGACCACCCCTGCTAAAGAAACAGTATTTGCTATTGGAATCAAAAAAAAAATCGTTTTACTCAACTAAAAAAAAAAAATTAGATGTCCGCTTTTGCGTTTTGACTCTTCATTCAAGGAATGAAATACAATACCCGGGAATCCAGGTTAACCCAATCAGAAAAATAAATTGCATAGGCATATAAAAGTAGGCTGGAAACCCAGGCTGTGTGTCGAATGACTTACCAAAGGCTTCCTTTGATTCCGAAAGTCGTTCTTCATCAGTTGAGTCTATCACATAGATAATTCCATGGGACTCTGCATAGTACTAAATGGAAAATAAACAATGCTTAATGAATGGGAATCCTTCCCGTTCTCTGAATGTTCTGAACTCCTGTTTCTAAGCCACTATTAAGAAAAATTATGCTGTCCAGAGGAGTTGCCGTCGCGTGCATGTCATTTCTATCACTGACGTCATGTTTGTAAGATTGTAAACTAATTGAGATTGAATCAACAGCACGTCTTCCACTTGCAGCAAAATCGTGCATTCCTTTTGCCTCAACTGACCTTTCACGAAGTAGTTTTAAATTAAATCAAGACTACTTTGAAGAGCTTTATTTACTGTTTGCGCATTTAAATAGCAGAAGAAAAACATGCAAGATATGTGAGCCAAAATGGAATTCATATCTCTAACTTTTCCTTCAGTAACTTCATAAGACACTGAAAACATGACATATCAGTCAATTATAGGGCTGAAAGGGCTCCTTGAGTAATTCCGGTCTCTCCGTTAAAAAAAAACAAAAAAAAAAAAAAAACAACAACAAAAAACTGCCTCGAGTACTTGCTTGTATACGTGTACACTCAGAAAGAAGCCAAGCTAACCGACAGTAACATGCCACCAACACAGCAAGAAGGCCAAAGTCAACCCCAAATATTTCTCGACAAGTTCAATGCAGCCCATCAGTCTAAAGACGGCATTCCGATTAATGTTGTGTTTGTGGAATATGAGTTGAACAGGAAAATCCACCCTTTTTACCCTTTTTTGTCCTTCTCAGGGGGCAACCATTTTCCCACTTGCTGTCAGCTGAAAATGATATCACAGTTGCTCAGGGCTCAGATAAGAACCAATTATGGCTTAGCTTTAGAAAACAAGCAAGCCACGATGGTCGTTACCTAAGCCCTGAGCAACTGTGATGTCAATTTCAGTCGACAGCATGTAGCAAAATGGCTGCCCCCTGAAATGGCTTAAAAAATGGGCAGACTTTGCTTCTTCTCATCTTCCACAAATGCAGTATTAATCAGAATGCCATGGCTCACTGAAATTGTAACGTCACTTCTCATAGACCAAAATACGGAGAAATATTTATGTAAAATCTCACTCATGTTTCTTGTAAGGAAAATAGTGTTCTGCTATGCACAAATTAAATTTAAAGGGACTCTTGAGCCAGGATGGTCAAATTGTTCATTATCAAACTCAATTTGTTGTTTGTTTGTTTTAATCCGGACTATTATTTTAGCTTGTATTTTCAATTATATTAATTTGATTTGGAGAATCAATTAACTTGTATTTTCAATTATATTAATTTGATTTGGAGAATCAATTAAAAACAAACAAAAACTAAGGACTTTCAAACCACCGACTGGAAAAGAGCAATATGGCCATGACCATGTATTGGTGGGAGTCACAGTAGGGACCGGAGACTATTTGACCTTTCAAAATCATGGTATACACATCACTAATTATGTCAAAACTGTGGCCCCAAAATGTATGCGGACATCTCTACTTCGGCCCACTTCAACCTCTTAAAATATTACAAAACAAATAGCATTTCTGGCGGCAGGGTGGGTGACTACTGAGCACGTCGGCCTCACAGTGCGGAGGTGCGGGATTCGATTCTGGCTCCGGCCTTCCTGTGTGGAGTTTGCATGTTCTACCCGTGCCTGCGTGGGTTTCCTGCAGGTACTCCGGTGTCCTCCCACATTGCAAAAACATGCCTGGCAGGTTAATGGAACACTCTAAATTGTCCCTAGGTGTGACTGTGAGTGCGGATGGTTGTCTGTGTGTGTGCCTTGTGACTGGCTGGCAATCTGTTCAAGGTGTCCCCCACCTACTGCCTGAGGACAGCTGGGATAAGCTCCAGCATGCCCCGCAACCCTCATGAGGATAAGCAGGTTTGAAAATGGATGGATGGATAGAGTAGCATTTCCATGGCTAATTTAAAAGAGAATGAGGAAATGAGCAGTATACGTGCAATTTCTGTAATGTCTGATCCGTTTTCTGTAATAAGTCACCAAGACATGAAAAGACAATGCATTCTGAGAGGCTTTTCGAAATCTTAATGGTTTCTAGGTTGCTCTATATTAGATTTTAATTGATAAACATTAGCTTGACTCACTTTTATTCCCCATGGCTCTCCAGGGGATATGCTTGCACCACTAATCCAAAAATGACACGTCACCATGTTTTGTCTTCTGTATTTATAACATAGCATTTTTTTTTATCCAAATACCCAATTACTCAATAAAATTTTCAGTTGGACATCCGAATACCAAAATATTCAGTAGTTGCAGCCCTTGTCAACTGTATTGGATGCATTGCATTTAACATCAGCAGATACCTTTGAACTTGAATAAATTTAAATAGCAGGATTTCAGGGAGATGGCGTAATTAAAAAAAAAAAAAACATTTTCATAGACAGCACAATTGGTAGTTATTATTGCTAGAAAGTACAGTACTTACTTTATCCCAAAGAGACTGAAGCTCCTCTTGACCTCCCAGATCCCAAAACATTAAACGAGCCTTGCCCACATCAATAGTTCCAACTGTAAAAGATTCAAATAGCACTAATAATTTAGCAGTAACTGAAAACTAGACTATAGTCAACATAAATGCAAACACACACACAGCAAAACTCACTTACTGTTCAGTCCAACTGTACTTGTGATCTTGGACAAATTAATTCCCTTATAGTTCTTGCTGAACTTTGTTTTGGTTTGTTCCAAAAAGGTCTACAAAGAAACAGTTATAACACATATAGGAGTTAAACAAGACCATTTATAGTCCATATTTACCATGACACCACAGTCACATAATCCAGTGGATATGTTGCAAAACCATAAGAGGTGGACAAAAAAAACAAAAACAAAATACACTGTCAGCTTTAGAGGTGAATACAATTATATAGTTTCAGTCAACTATTAAAATTACATTGAAAGCTTGCACTCAGCTTTCAGAATAAATACCATACTTTTTATTTGTGAGGCTATTTTTTGTTGAAATATTTCATAATAATTATTTAATCATTTTGGAGACAAGGATGTCAGGGCCACTGAATGAACAGTACAGAGATGAAAGTGGACTTTTCTGAAAATTCCGGAAAAAATAAACAAATAAATAAATGTGTGTGTGTCTGTGTGTGTGCGCGTATATATATATATATACACACACACACACACACACACACACACACACACACACGCGCGCACACGCACTTGGCCGATCAAGCGTGAATTAGTTTACACAAAACGCTATTCAAATACTCAACATTCAATGATTAATCTTTCTTTTGTGTGCGCACGTGTACCCTTTATGGCTTCCGTTCTGGCCGAAATTTCGAAATCTCCAAGATATGGCGAGGCCATGAGAATGCGAGGCAAGGGTATTGCTGTTGTGGCGACTCCACTCAAGCTAAGCGAGCCTCAGCAGTAGATAGTCCGCTGCTCTCTGCTGTGTGTGTTTCAGCGCGAACATGTACGGAAGCGCGTCTTTTGATTTCAACCAATCAGCGCCGACGCAAATGACGTCACACACGACAACAGCTAAGCTAAGTTAGCCGAGACGACACTCGAAGTCGGACGGACACGATTTTCTGCCAATCTGTGTTTTTCCCTTTTTGGCTAAATATATTTTTTACGACAACTGTCTTGTCCACGGCGTCTTTTATTCGTTCCACTGGAGTTTAGCAGGTGTGTTTATAAAGAGACGAAAATTGTTTGGGGACTATCCCCCACGTTCTAGTTGAGATGGTATAACCCAAGAGGCAAAATGACGCTTGCTACTGTTGTTGCGAGTTGCCATTCGTTCTACTAAACCATTAGTCAAACGCCATCATGTCTTCTGTCGTTATTACACAAACAAAAATCTCTTTACTGTTACTAGTGTTAGTGTCTCAATATGGCTAAGCTCGTGAAAGCAATGCAACGAACTCAAACGCGTCTTCGTCCAATGTTGTCAACTAATATCCGGATTAATTTTATTTTCCTCAATTCTCCGGAGAAATTTTAATAAAAATTTGAAAAACCCGGAATTCCGGGAAAATCCGGAGGACTTTCATCTCTGACAGTATAATGAGAATCAGAATCCTCTGTGTGAGACAAGTAAATTAAACTACATGAGTAATTTGTCTCTGGTAACTCAAAACACAAATTGAACCGTGACAGAGTGCTTGTTTTTGGCAATCAACAATTGGAAGTTGTATGTTCTGTTTTTGTTCTAATGAGTTGACATGATGTCATAGTAAGAGTAAGTTAGTATTCCTATAAATATATCAGTGGTATCTTAATTTATTTAAGCTAAAATGTCAGTGGCACTATGATCCATTTAGTCTTAATTTATCCGGGTAAAGCAATTTTAGAAAAGATTCTCATTTGCAATGCCATGGCAGCAAAGCAGTTGGAAAGGCTACTAAAAGCCTACTAAATATGAAACAGTACATTAATCAATGTGCATGTAAATGTTTTACTGTTTCTTGACAAAATGCCCGTAGTGATAGTCAAATTAATAATACATGATGATTTACAATCTCAATTCATGCATGTTCCACATGAAAATCGCATTGCATTTTTACTTAACATCAGAAGAACTCCTCAAATATTTAGTAGTACTTTTTGCCAATGAAAATGGTGCAGAGCATCTACCTCTACAGTACATATATCTTATTCTTGCAATCGGATTCCTTTAAATTTGTATTTTTCCATTCGAAAATTATTCACATTGTTTGTTGTATTCTTATTTGCCTATAACTCAATCGACTTCAAATGAAATATACTGTATTTTCCTCTGTTGTGTTTGTGTTTAGGAATGAGGGTTCAAAGGGAGTAAATTTGCAAAGGAGGCCAGTTCAAGATATGACTGCCACTACTCGTAATCATGTACATTTACAGGTTGTGTGTCAACCACCGCGCACACGTTACGTCGTCGTTAAAATCTGCCTTATCCGGTCGCCTCCTTCACTTGTCGCACTTGCAAACCGAAGTAAACTTCTGGATCTAGACTCTGGTCTGCTCGCCACTTATTTTAGTGGAATTTGGTTCTATTATTTCTGTGAAATAGGTCGACTCACCTGCAATCGAACTAAAAGAACCTCTAGCCACGATTAATGTTGGCGCAGGTAATAACATTAAAGTAGTAGTGGAAGAGCCGGCCCCAATGATGAGCAAACATAAACGATATCCAACACGGGTACTTGACTTGGTTGTCGACGTTTAACTGGGACAAGCATAGACAAGAAAGCGAAACAAGTTCGCCTTTTAATCCCCATTATAAGGACAACTAACAGGGCTGTACGCCTCAACTTTACCGAGGTAAACTAAGACAATCAAAGTAAACATCACAAGGGGACGTGAACAACCAATTGGCGAACCTCACAATAACAGCATACCAGACAAATTGGGCGAAACACACCGTTTTACCAGCATTATCCAATCCAAGGATTAAAATGCAGTATTCGTCCTTTTGAAACATGTACTTATATAATCCAGATAGTAAAGTATACATCGTGAGGAAGGATATCCAAATGTCAGTTTTAGACTTCTAACTAAATTCACCCTGCACACGCTGATAATTTGGAGTCATTCCAATGTGGTTCCATTCTTCATAAAAACAATAATGTTTCGTGGTTCGAATTACAAATGCAGAAAACGCAATCAAAAACGTCGACGTTTGTTATTGACTACTGAGGCGGACGTGCCCCACGACATGAGTGCTGACGCTAAAAAAAAAAAAAACGTCGAGCGATATGAATTGTGGGAAATGAAGTCAGTGTTATTGTTGTCAACGTTCTACGCATTTGTATCAACTCACATCTAAACTACAATTCCCAAGACATACCATTATTTGAAACGTTTAACTACGGAAAAGCAAAAGCCCCATATCTAAAGTATTGCAATATCTCCCCAAGTCTTCTGATATAGTGGGGGCGCGATGCGATGCCAGGTTAGGCGTGTGTTGACTCTGGGCAACATGCCTTTTGCCGAAGAGAATAGAATAACGTGTAATTGCACACCCACCACAGCAGTTGTCAGTGGCGCCCTCATAGTCAGAGAGTGTGCAGGAAGTATGAAAAATAATAATGCATTTTTTATAAGCGCCTTTCAAAACACTCGAGGACACTTTACAGTCAGGAAGAAGAACAATAAAATCACAGATAAAATTCTAAATAATAAAAGAAGAGACTAATTTAAATTGATCATGCGATTTTGAATAGGTGGGTTTTGAGATGGGATTTGAATGTGGGAAGAGAATCAATATTTCGGATGTTGGTTGGAAGTGAATTCCAGAGTTTGGGGACCAACCAGGGAGCCTGAGAAGCTCAGCCACTGAATACTGTAGCACAGGGGTCCCCAACCTTTTTTGCCCCACGGACCGGTTTATGTCAGACAATATTTTCAGGGACCGGCATTTAAGGTGTGGCGGAAATAATCCAACAAAATAATATGGTATGAGGTGCATGGAAACTGCGGTGTTTTCGAAATATCATAATAAACACAAGGAGCGCCTAATCTGGCCGCAACACTCTCTCTGATCGCTATGGCAGGGGTCCCCAACCTTTTTTGCCCCATGGACCGGTTTATGTCAGACAATATTTTCAGGGACCGGCATTTAAGGTGTGGCGGAAATAATACAACAAAATAATATGGTATGAGGT